AACTGTAAACAAGACTCGCCTTCACTGATTGGCTGATGACGTACTGTTTGCACCCCCCCCACCACCACAACTCTCTGCTTCACCCCCCTCCAACTCCCTCACTTACCCCCTGCCCCCACTCTCTCACTTCATCCACCTTCCGTTTGAGGAAATGATGAACGTGAAGGGATTGTTTCATCATCTCTCCTTACCTCACCCCCACCATAATCCTCTCTCAGGCACGACAAGTGTGTGTGTGTGTGTGTGTCACGGGAGTCCTGCTCGGAAGGGGGGTCACGTGCGGTGTTCTCTAATGGCGTAGACAGGAGGCTGTGGGAGGATATCAGCCCATACCAGGGATGATGACGCAAGATAGTATTGTTCTAGAGAGAGAGAGAGAGAGAGAGAGAGAGAGAGATGTTTTGAAGTGGAGAGAAGAGTCAGGGGAGTTCAATGGGGGGAGTTGGTTAAGGGGGAGGAGGAGGTACGGGTAGGGGGAGAAAGGGGGTGTATGCATAACAACACAAGCATGAAGGCTGCCCCACACAACCAACCTCTCCACAACACAACAATAACAAATACACCAACAGTTTATGGTGCATGTTGGGTGAGTCTCTTGGGGTGAGTGCATAGAGCTGTGGCCAACATGACTGTACTGGAGAGAATTACTGCAGCTGAGCCTCCACCGCCCATCACAGAGTTCAAGGCCACGTACCACCACCACCCAACGGACGGCCATGCTGTGTGTGCTGGTGGAAGGGGTGGTGGTAGTGAGGGTGTGGTGGTGGTGAAGGGGTGGTGATGATGGTGGTGGTGGTAGTGAGGGTGTGGTGGTGGTGTGTATGATGGTGGTGGTAGTAAGTGGTGGTGGTGAAGGTGTGGTGGTGGTGAAGGTGTGGGTGATGGTGGTAGTAGGAGGGTGTGTGGTGATGGTGAAGGGGTGGTGGTAGTGAAGGTGTCGGTGGTGGTGGTGTGAAGGTGTGTGTAGTAATGGGGTGGTGGTGGTGATGGTGGTGATGGGGTGGTGGTGGTGATGGGGTGGTGGTGGTGATAAAGATGGTGGCGGTGATGGATGGTGGTGATGGTGAAGGTAGGCGAGGTGTGTACTGGTGATGGGTGGTGAAGGGAATGGATAGGAGTTATTGTTTCTTGTGATGAGAGATGACAGACGATGTTGTTAGTGATGCAGAGGACAACACAGCCGGTGGCAGTAACAGAGAGCCACTTGAAAACGTCTTGATTATATCGGTGGTAACTAATGTGCAGTCGTAGGAGTAGTGAAGTTTGTTGTGATGGTGTGGTAGTGGACCTGGTGAGAGAGCGGACACGTGGCGGCCATAACACATCACCAGCAACAATCACCTGACCGCCATGATGGACAGATAACAGCCAACCGCCCCATGATCTCTTTCCGGCACAATGTTGATTATAGAGAACCATGCGTTGTGACCCTGAGCTAGTGAGGGCCGCCACGCACAGCACCCGGGACCCGCTGATGCACCGTGTCTGACCCGCTGAGTCGGAAGGGGGGAGGGGAAGAAGGAGGAAAGGGAGGAAGGGGGGGGGGACTTTGTGGGAAGATGTACAGGTCGGGTGGATCTCTAGTCTGCCACTCACCACAAACACACCCAACATTCCCAGAGTTACCATAATCCTAACACGTCTTCCTTCTTGATCCTCTGGTTACCGAGAGAAACACCTAGCAAAATCTCTTTAGATATTTACTTTCCCAACAATGTGTGTGAGGGAGAAAAGAGGTTCATGAACACGTTGGTAATAAACCTGTTGTGTCGCCCCTATGAAAGAACACTGCTGGTGAGAGGAAGATGGCGGCGGTGGTGGATGGGGGTGAGAGTCGAGCAACACCAACTTGTTATAATACCCACCTCTACCACCTCCCACTTCCCCTCCTCATTCTTCCTGTTATCACCTCCACACTCCTCCTGTTACCACCTCCTTCCTCCTCCTGTTATCACCTCCTCACTCCTTCTGTTATCACACCTCACCTCCTGTTATCACCTCCTCCCTCCTGTTATCACCTCCTCTCCTCCTGTTATCACCTACTCCTCCTGTTACCTCCTCCCCCCACTCCTGTTACTCCCCTCCTGTTATCACCTCCTCCCTCCTGTTATCACCTCCTCCCCCCTCCTGTTATCCCACCTCCTCCCCCCTCCTCCAGTCTCACCTCCTCCCCTCCCTGTTATCCACCTCCTCCCCCCCCCTCCTGTTCACCTCCTCCCCCTCCTGTTATCACCTCCTCCCTCCTCTGTTCCTCCTCCCCCCTCCTGTCCACCTCCTCATTATCACCTCCCCTCCTGTTATCACCTCCTCCCTCCTGTTATCACCTCCTCCCCCCTCCTGTTATCACCTCCTCCTCCTGTTATCACCTCCTCCTCCTGTTATCCTCCTCCCCTCCCCTGTTATCACCTCCTCCTCCCTCCTGTTATCACCTTGCCCTTGTGTCCTTTTATCCTCGAGTTATTTGTACTGTTAATCTCTTGAGACTTTCCACAACGACCTAACACTTGAGACACCACACACACCTCACCCTCAAGTCTCACTGAGCAATCCTCTCGGTATCTCTCACCCCTCACACATGCCTCCCAGGGTCCCGTTACAAGCCTAACTTCCTTAATGCGACGCCACAATGGTTCGCTCAAGTTAGAGAGAGAGACCTCACCTCATAAAACACAACTCCACAAACAGGGCTAAACCAGTGTTCGTCTCCGCCTCGTGTCACTTCCTCTACTGATGAACGCGGAAGTGAGACACACACATCCCCTCCCTCACCTCCCTCTAACCCCCGGATATGTTTACTCCCTCACCCTCTCGTGCCATTCCCGTTCTCCTGTGTCCTGTTCGTCAACATCCGTCACCTGTGCCCCCCCCCCCTCTCCGCAGAGTACCTCCCTGGTTGTAATATTATCCTAGATATTAATTAACCTGTATGCAGCATTGTAGGCTTGTAATTAACCTGTATTCTGTATTTTAGGCTTGTAATTAACCTGTATTCTGTATCCTTGTCCTGTACACACCTTGTATCCTGTATCAAACATCTGTCAGCTGTACCCTCCACTCAGCCACACACTCTTACTGTGTACAGGCAACATCTGTGACCAGCGACCCGTGCACATGACTCTGTTGCACACTCCTAATCACATACGTTGCTGTAAAATGCATACACGAACCACCTTCATGTGCCTCCATCACCTGAGCACTATGATGTACATGAGAATCTGCCACAGGTATATAATCAAATACGGTACGTGACACCTGTATATAAGTACACACACACACATACACTTACCTACACTCACACACACCAGGAAGGGGTAGAGAGCCGCGCTGTGTACGACTGATAACCAATACAAATAACAAAAGAATCAAATACAAACATTACACGAAGGTTCCGCTAGATTGTTTAGGCGTGATCAGGCAGAATGTGACCACAGTTCAGATAAGGGTTCCTGGGACACCCTTCAACAGACGAAGCCAAGGTTCCTCTTAAACACTCTTGTGAAGTTAACTCTTATTTGTACTAATTATCGCAAGGAGAGCAGCAGTCTTGTTGATAAGCTGACTGTTGACATCTTCACAGCTGATTACTGTTGACATCTTCACAGCTGATTACTGTTGACATCTTCACAGCTGATTACTGTTGACATCTTCACAGCTGATTACTGTTGACATCTTCACAGCTGATTAATGTTGACATATTTACAGCTGATTACTGTTGACATCTTCACAGCTGATTACTGCTGACATCTTCACAGCTGATTACTGCTGACGTCTTTACAGCTGATTACTGTTGACATCTTCACAGCTCATTACTGTTGACATATTTACAGCTGATTACTGTTGACATCTTCACGGCTGACTACGCTGACATCTTCGAAGCAGACTAAGAATCGACATCGTCATAGCTGATATTTTCAAGGTGAATTTTATTGTACAAGTCCCCAACCTAACTCTCCCAAGAGAGCAGTAACCATCCTTCCTCATAGTCCCACACACACTAGTCTTACACCCCAGTAAAGCCTCTGTGCTCTCCTTGATGCACAGTTCCATAAACCCGTAAATGATTGGGAGGAGTCGTGTTGTAAATCTATAAATAATAATAAACCTCAGGGCTGGGAGTTTAGCCCACGTCCCCAGGGCGGGAGTCCCTGGGGACTGTGAGCTATGGTGTAGCAGCTCCGCCTCCCCCGCTCTCAACCATCACCCCTTGAGGAGCTTGACCCATTGTCGTGAGGTGGAGTGCGGGAGTCCCCGGAGGTGTGGCCTCTTAATTCCCCGGTGCAGGTCCCCAGGGGGATGCCAGGCAGGCCACTGCGCTCTCAACTACTGGACTACTCTCACCCAGTGACGATGTTTTCTAGTAATAACGATGATAACAAGTGGAAACCGCCTGTAAAGCTACCACTCCAATGTCCACTCATCACTGAAAATTCGTGAAGAGAAGTGAAAGTTGCCGTACGTGAGAAGAGGAGAAATGGGGGAAGGCTGATGATCAAGTCTAGAGCCGGTTGTCTCTGACAAGCTGAGAACAAGTGTTAGGTCAGGTCAGACTGGGGTCACTATCAGGTCATGTGAAAGTCTGTGGCAGCATGACCTGACTCGACCTGTCAATAATGCTTTCTCTTTGACGTTTACTCTTCATTCCTACTCTGATATAACAAGAGCGATAGGGTAAAATGTTCCACATTCTGTCAACAAAAGTAAAAACTCACTAACACACGTGTAAAATAACAGCTGAAATTTGCTTCACCTTCACCACCTCCTCCGGCTGGCTTCCGGACCTCACTTGACCTCATGTGACCAAGACAGATGATCCATATGTGACCTCACACGACTCACTTTGACCTACATATCCCCCACCCGTTGTGTACTTGTTGACTCACTATCCTTGTTCTTGTGGCGCTGAGTACTCCTTCAAGTAATGGATGACAACTTATCATTTGGTAATAAACCCATCATCAGGTGTCGTCCACGCTCTAATAGTTTGTGTTTGTCTCCTACAGATGAGGACAGTGGCTACTGGCGTGACGATGCACGCCCCCGCAGCCCAAGTCGTTTGGAACCCGTCGGAGATCGGCAGCGCCGCACCCTACCGCCAATCAGCCGTTTGTTACCCAGACCAGCTCTCATTGTCCGCTCCCGTTCCCCAGCCCTACCCCCTGCGGACATGCTTCTGCCGCCACAGGACACGCCGCTGGACTGCCACGTGCCCCGCCGTGCAGCCTCACCGCGTCTGCCCCCCTTCTGTGACGTCAGACGACACCAACGAGCGCCGTCACCAATGGAGTACGACCACAGGCCATCCCGTTACTCCGACGACTCCATCCTTCCATACGATTTGACGACCCGACGCGCACGGTCCCCCCGCAGCGTGTCGCCGCAGTCGCTGCCGCCGGTGTTGGCCTCCATGCACCTGACGCAGGTCACCAGCGCCGAGGATGGCGGTGGTCAAGGCAACGGCGGTGGTCCACCTCCTGGCCAACACTGCACCGGCTCTAACGGCGGCTACGTTGACTCTTCACAGACATCTCTTTCCTTCTTCGGTTCACTCGGCCTCGGTGGAGACAAAGGCGGGCTTGGTGGCGCTGACGGAGGTGGTGGTGGAGGTCAGACTCCTCCTGGCGGGATGTCCAACTTGGAGACCACATCACTGCCACCACCAATCCCGATGCCAGTAGAGCCTCACGTGTACTCCCTCCCAGAGCACTGCCGCAGCATCCCGCTCACTGCCAATGACACTTCTCAGTCATTCCCAGCTCCAGCACACTTCAGGGACAAACACCTCCAGCCTCAGCAACAACAACAACAACAGCAACAACAACAACAGCAACATCAACTACAGCAGCAGCAACAACAGCAGACACATCAAACACATTTCCAAACACAGCATATCCAGTCTCAGCAAACACAGCCACAGTACACCATCCCACAACCGTCACCCTCACCGATACCTGTGTCACCGCCCCTGAGCTGCGCTACCTCGCCCCTTACCAGCGGCACCACCCTCCTCAGGTCCCCGCCAGAGGCACAGACCTTTGAGCCCCTCACCACTCAAACACAGGTCAGTCAAATGTGATACTTATAACGTTACGATTTGTATCACGATCAAATATTTAACAAATTGTGATGTGGATCGACTTTTGTCCATTATTTTAATAAGTTCCTGTACAGTAGCCTCCATGTAATGTCTTAACGATTATTACGCTTCGTCCTAATGGGTCTGTGTGTTGTTCAGGTTCCGTTGGTGTCGTCTACGGACCTACAGAGCGGGTGGTGCGAGCGATCACCCATGTCCCCTCAGTATATGCAGACCAGCTACCCCAGCCGGCCCTCACCAGGGGGCAGCTCCATCATGGACGCCAACTCCCCGCCGTTGCACGATCTCCAGGTACCTACACACGTTCTCACTTAATAAAAACAGTATAAAAAAAATTCTTCTCACAAAACAATATTGTATAGCATCAGTTCTCGCTGAGACCGAGCATCAGACAACAAATCTAGTGACACGTCTCTGACTATTAGTTTATTACTTCAAATATTAACAGTTTTAGTTTTAACATAAAGGACTTAACTAAGTCTCTGTCTCTCTGCAGCGCGAGGTGCCACTACAGGTGCGAGTGTCCATCCTGCAGCAGCGTCTGGGCCTTCCTGAAGACACACCCCTTGAATTTGTCAACGGTGGTCATGGCATCAAGAACCCGCTCGCTCCCAACCTTGACCCAGCACGTCCAGAGGTTCCTGAGAAACTGCAGCCTCCGCCCCCCGGTAGGTACACACACACACACTTTACCTTGTTTGTCTCCTATCAGCAAGTAAACATGTTTCAACTGTTAGTGTTTCATTAAGTTTAGATCCCCCTCCCCTCGACGCGGCTTAAAACACTGAAATGCTCTTTAAGGTGACCCTGAGTATAAGTGTCCCTTTATTTACAACCAATCTCACTGTTTGTTGTTGTTGTTGCAGTTATGGAGGAGGAAAGCAGCAAATTCGTGTGTCGCATCTGCTCCAAGGCATTCACTCTACAGCGACTGCTAAACCGCCATATGAAGTGTCACTCGGACGTGAAGCGATACCTGTGTACCTTCTGCGGGAAAGGCTTTAACGACACCTTCGACCTCAAGCGCCACACTCGTACTCACACAGGTGGGTCACTCTTCATGTTCTCGTGTTATTTAGTCTACACAGTAATGTTAGCAATATAATATGAGTTTGTACAGTTTACAGTTGGTTGGTTCATGTATACGTTGTCTCATAGTGTTCCATGGCACACGTGAGTAGTTTTATGTCGTGACTAACCACAGTTTATTGTACCCAGGTGTGCGACCCTACAAGTGCAACCTGTGCGAGAAGTCGTTCACTCAGCGGTGTTCCCTGGAGTCCCACTGCCTGAAGGTGCACGGCGTCCAACACAGCTACGCCTACAAGGAGCGGCGCTCTAAGGTGTACGTGTGTGAGGAGTGTGGCCACACTACGGGCGAGCCCGAGTGTCACTACCTCCACCTCAAGGACAACCATCCCTACAGCCCCGCACTACTCAAGTTCTACGATAAGAGGCATTTCAAGTTCAACAACTCCAATTTCACGAACGTTCTTCTGATGAGTCAAACGTAGAAAGTTGTGGTGACAGCGGGCGCGGGTGTCCTTGTTGGCTGTTATAGTTGTAGGCCGGTGGTCACGACTGGTGTGGGCTGCAGTACTGATGCCAGGCCCAACACATATCACTGCCTCGCTGACCGGCACCACACAGGCAGCACAGTGATGAGTTAGACTTGGCACTGTTGTCGGCTGCTGTGTGGACCAGAGGAGGGCTCTCCCGCTTCTACACAACACGCAGACTGACCTGACCAGCTCACGCGCTGAACGTATTTTTATACTTAGCTAAATAAAGATAAAGGCATTATATTATAAGTATATTAAAGTATATATTACCATACTAGAAAAGTTTATGGTTTTCTTTATATATGCCGTTCATGTGCATATAATGCAAGTTATCTCCAGTAGATCAAGTATGTAGGCTGTATGAAACAGAACATGGTGGCGATAATAGCAGTTATATGGCATGTGGCGCTACAAGTGCTTACAATGTATGTGGATTCGTTGCAATATAGATGTTAAGATATTGCTGAACCAATGATCACGTCTCGCACTTAATGTGTTGTGCTTCTTCTCTTCTTTCTCTATAGTTTATATACCACGAAACTTCATTGTCTTTATTATTTACTTATAAAACTGTCGACAAAAGGCCACTGTGTTCCAGTATGTTGTGATGATCTCCAAATGTAACCTGTGGGCATTAGATATGAATGGTGCTCCAACCATAAGTGATAAAACATATATTATATTTTACAATAACCACCAACCAATGATATTTACCTCAGAGCTGAGACCCGCCGCCTGCAGCCGAGTCTAAGATCGAGAAAGTTAAGTTTTAGGGTCGAAAATTAAACTGTAGGACCTAAAACAGAGACGAAGGAGCCGGAGGTGGCACCTTGGTCGTGGCGTGACGGAGGGCAGACGGAGGAGTGTAACAAAAGGGTAGCGTTGTGGCCCCCGTCAACGAGGAGTGGAGGCTGTTGAGGCGTTAGCTGGTAGTGGACGAGCACGCTGCTCTCGTGGTATCTTCCGGTGAAGTACAAGCTGTCTGATGGGTGTAAATAGGATGTACATAGTTCGTTATCTTTGTCTGGTATTTTTGTAAAACTTGCGAGCTTCCTGACCTGTGTGCTAGTGCTTTAGATGGGCCGCGTCAACCAGTATCAACAAGGCCCGCCACACGGTGACTCTCACTCCGCAGTTTTAGATTATCGCTGTTATACGAGCTGGGTGCTGCTCACGTTTTCTCTACATTATGTAGTTGCATGTACTGTAAGGAAGACTACAATAGCCAGCTGCACCAATATGAATCTCTGTTAGCAGGATTAATTCTAAATATAAATGTTATTATTGATACATTGTATGTCTCTGATGCTATGCAAGTAGAGGGATAAGTTGCAGTAAACTAATGGTGCAATGGAGTGCAATTGTTATGTTGGATATATGTTGTTGGTGTGGTCCAGCACCCGTGGCACTGCGTCTCTCACCGAGGGTCAAGATGCAGCTGTAACAACGTAGTACAGTAACATTATTTAACAGTTGTTCAGCTGGTTGTTAGGCTGCCGGGTGCAATTATTCAACTGAGAGTGCAAATGTTGTTATGATTAAATAAATATTGCAAACATAATAACCGTTTATAAGCGTTCACTAGATGCTACGACCGTGACTGTGGTTCACGATACTGTTGTTAGGGTCACTATGATTATGGCACTTAGGAACTATCAGTCATTTCTCAAGGTGAGCTTTCCATATCATCTTCGCCTCTTTACGGGTTGCAGTTAATGTTATTGTAAACTTTTACTTGACCTTATTTATGACGGACAGCCGTAACCTCTAGCTGACTGTCTCTTGTTGATGAGTCTTCAGTCACATATAATATATTTTTAGATATTCTTTGTCTTGTTTTGTATGTTCTCTTTTCACGTGTTTTTTTCCCTCTATCTTATCTGTATATACTTGACACTAAGATAATAAAGATTTTTTTTGAACTATTTCTTTATTTTTAATTCGCCCCAACAACAGTGTATATGAGTGACCATCAGCCAGGTGAGGAGTGTCAGCCAGGTAGTGTCTTGTAGAGTGTCAGCCGGGTAGTGTGGAGATTCAGCCGGGTAGAGTCAGGCAGAGTGTCAGCCGGGTAGTGTGGAGATTCAGCCGGGAAGAGTCGGGGCAGAGGTCAGCCGGGTAGTGGAGATTCAGCTGGGAAGAGCCGGGCAGAGGTCAGCTGCAGTGTGGAGATTCAGCTGGGAAGAGTCGGGCAGAGGCTTCAGCCTGCAGTGTGGGAGATTCAGCTGGGAAGAGTCGGCAGAGGTCAGCCGGGTAGTGTGGAGATTCAGCCGGGTAGAGTCAGTCAGAGGTCAGCCGGGTAGTGGAGATTCAGCTGCAGAAACAGGCAGAGGTCAGCCGGGGTAGTGTGGAGATTCAGCTGCAGAGTCAGGCAGAGGTCAGCCGGGTAGTGTGGAGATTCAGCTGGGTAGAGTCAGGCAGAGGTCAGCCGGGTAGTGTTAGTCAGGTAGTGTGTAAGCCGGGTAGAGTCAGGTAGAGAGTAAGCTGGGTAGAGTGTCAGCCGGGTGGAGCTGTAGGTAGAATGTTAGCCGGGTAGTCAGGTAGAGTGTCAGCGGGTAGAGCCAGGAAGAGTGTCAGCCGGGTAGAGTCAGGTAGAGGTCAGCCGGGTAGCGCCAGGTAGAGTGTCAGCCGGGTAGAGCCAGGAAGAGTGCTCAGCTGGGTAGAGCTGTGGGTAGAATGTTAGCCGGGTAGAGTCAGGTAGATTGTCAGCCGGGTAAAGTCAGGTAGAGTGTCAGCCGGGTAGAGTCAGGTAGAGTGTCAGCCGGGTAGAGTGTCAGCCGCTTAAAGTCAGGTAGTGTCAGCCGGGTAGAGTCAGGTAGAGTGTCAGCCAGGTAGTGTCAGGTAGAGTGTAAGCCGGGTAGTGTCAGTCAAGTAGAGTGTCAGCCGGGTAGTGTCAGTCAGGTAGAGTCAGCCGCCAGGTGAAATATAAACCAGGTAGAATATCAACCAGGTGGAGTGTCAGCCGGGTAGTGTGTTAGCCGGATAGTGTGTCAGCCGGATAGTGTGTCAGCCAGGTAGAGCGTCAGCCAAGTAAAATGTCAGCCAAGTAGAATGTCAGCCGGGTAATGCGTCAACCAGATAAAGTATGAACCAAATAGTATCAGCCAGGTAAAGTGTCAGCCAAGTAGACTGTCAACCATGGAGAGTGTCAGCCGTCAGGAGCCTAATGTCTGACCCATGTATAAAGTCTACGGTCATATCCACCCGAGTTTCAAGACCATTTTAAACATGCCAGGAATAAGAGTAAACATACATACATACATACATACATACATACATACATACATACATACATACACACATACATACATTCACACATATAAATACATACATACACACATACATTCACGTGGGTACAGACAGACATGATGTAGGTACAGGAGTAGAAACTAAAAGATTAATCACAAACCTAAGAAAAAAAAATTAGACGTTATTAAAAGCTCTACGGGAATGAGCCAACTGTGGTCAGGCCAATATAAGTGAGGTACTCGATCGTCCCCAACCATCAGCCGTGGAGAGGAGTGTGTGTGTGTGTGTGTTGAGAGACTTTGAAACTTAATACTGGAAAGATTTATCAATTAAATATATAGATGTCCTAAACACCTTGGGCTAAAACGTGAAGAAGAAAACGTAAATAAGCTACAAGAAACAAATGCGCAGCGGCCAGTCAATAAACGGTATGACTCTACAATAAACAAATGAGCGAGAGCCAGACAATAAACGGAATGACTGTAAAATAAACAAATGAGCATCAGCCAGACAATAAACGGAATGACTGTAAAATAAACAAATGAGCATCAGCCAGACAATAAACGGAATGACTGTAAAATAAACAAATGCCCATCAGCCAGACAATAAACGGAATGACTGTAAAATAAACAAATGCCCATCAGCCAGACAATAAACGGAATGACTGTAAAATAAACAAATGCCCATCAGCCAGACAATAAACGGAATGACTGTAAAATAAACAAATGAGCATCAGCCAGACAATAAACGGAATGACTGTAAAATAAACAAATGCCCATCAGCCAGGCACGTCAATGATGATGGAATACCGTAAGTCTTAAAAGGCATTACAAACACTCAGCATTTGGTTACTATGGTATCAAAATTATCGTTTTATTTCCAGCGTAATACAGTGTAACCATAAATCTTGAGGGTAGGTTTTATGGGGCGTGGTGAACCTCTGACCACCGTAGGGACACACACACACACACACACACACACACACACCACATTTATAACCCCCCTTATCTATACATCCATCACTGGTGGCTAATGCAACTATCATGTTTAACTACGACTCAGAATTCCCTTGTAATGTAACTACGATAATTCCCCCTTACTTACGGAGCCCTAGGTGGAAAATTATAACTTTCCCTTTATTCAACATTCAACTACGGTATTTTAACCAGCCTAAACAAACTATAGAACATAACTAAATCTTGCTAGAGCCCTATAACACACCTTTGTTCAGCACCTATAACACACCTTTGTTCAGCACCTATAACACACCTTTGTTCAGCACCTATAACACACCTTAGTTCAGCACCTATAACACACCTTTGTTCAGCACCTATAACACACCTTTATTCAGCACCTATAACACACCTTAGTTCAGCACCTATAACACACCTTAGTTCAGCACCTATAACACACCTTAGTTCAGCACCTTTTTATTTGTATTAAGAACCTCACCTGAACCCCGAAGCTCCTGTAGTGGGCTTCGTCCTCTGGGTCTACCAACGGGGTATTGACCTTTGTACCTCCACGCCTCTTTTTTTTTTTTAATTTAATGGCCCCTTCCTTAGGTGGCCCCTCCCTCAGGCATGTTGAGGTCCCCCGCTAATCAACTGTATTTTGGTGACCTAGAAGTATAATGCAAACTATAGCGCAGCCTCCCAGGAAGTACTGCAACAGGTAGACTCGTTCACCTTGTTGTTGCACAGATTTTATCATGTCTGAAACTAACACACTTCAACACCACTCAAGTCTACAAAATATTCACCTGTGTTGTGGAAAACCTTTTGGCAGTGTTAATGGATCAGCCAACACGTTTTACAGATAGCAAGTTACTGAGTCTCTTGGCTGTAGTCTTATCAACCCAAAGATGAAATACAAAAAAAAAAAGGTGTGAATCCTCGTCACGTGTAGGAGTCACAGATCACTACAGGTGGTGTGTTAACCTATCGCTGAAAACAACAATAAAGGCAGCGAGCGTGTTGGCTGGCATAACAAACCGTGGGAAATATTAGTCTATACGTTAAGACACGGCAGCCATAGATTGGAACAGTTGCAATGGGAAGAACGTGGAAGACTTCTAAAACCTCAATCAAGAACAACTTACACCTAACGAAAAAAAAAAGAACGGCCTTAAGACTAGTACCTGTAACAAAACTTGACCCCTGTGGATGGCAACTAATGTATCATGCAACACAACAAGCTCCAAACATACACGTGATCATAACCTGTATAAAGTAATATTAGTTGACAAGACACACGAGGGGAAGCAACACTATGAAGGACAAATAACATCAAGCGACACATGTAAATCAAAATCTGAAATCAAAACATATTGGACTTATAAATTTATACAGAATCTTAACAGCTAAACCGGTCTGCTGTAACCTCGGACCTCTGCCATCTAGACGACCATACAGCAATTATGATGTTACTACCCGGAATCACTGCACACACAACTAACCGACCAATCCTCCATTTTCTATAACACTTAATTTTTTTTTCGGGTCAAGTCATTTTAACTCTGATTACCGAGAGATTTGTTTTTACCCGTTAAGGAGTAGAGTCGTAGGCATGTGTTTCATTCACCTGAGAGAGACACTGACCACTCAATGGGTTAATAGACTAACTGGTGGTGGCCTAGATACCGGTTGTGACGTAACGTGAGCGAATACCAGTGCAGCAGAACCTTACACACACACACACACACACACACACACACAAACAAACAAACAAACAAACAAAAGCTTAATGATATGGTAAAATAATTAACATGAGGCTGTGGGTCATGAATGGGACTGAAAAGAGAATTCATGTTCTTCTGTGTCAGGATAATCAACAGTAGTGTGTAACAAGGTGTTCTGTGTCACACCTTCTTACTCTTATTTATTGATGACCTAAAACTGCCATCAACAGCCACTAATTAGTCTGCTGATGACACCAAGGACTCAACGCTAACAGTCGAAGCTGATGACGGACAGTATCTCTAGAGTGATCTGGACTACGAGTAAATATGGCTGCTCCAACCTACAGTAACCTTTAAACACATTAGGAAGCGACACTCGGTGCTGTGTGGGGTGATGGTGACAGGACGATGTTATGTGAAAGACCTCAAAGTAAAGCCTGAGGTCAAATATATATTTTCCCACAAGTGTACCAGCAGGATACAGTCTAGTCTGGCATTATTCAAGAGACCTGGATTACCACAGCTAATTTTAACCATTTATAAATATTTAATACACAGCATATAGAACGGAACGTGTAGTGAGGACCCTTATACAGAGGCCCCGGTACCTCAGGACAGGAAGAACTTTACACGACTTACACAGATGGCTGCCTTGTTTGGTGTACAGGTGACAGAGCGGATGTGATTCAGACTCACAAGATAATTATCAGTCATGACAGCGACCAGCCCAGCTCATTGTTCTCTTAAATCACCTATGACACATTCTCAGGTCACAGGAAATATCCAAATGTACGGTGGCGCGCCTTAACGCTTATACATATACATCCACTTATCAGGAAATCAACTTAAGGAAAAATACTGGCTGCAAGTTGTACGTAGTTTCAGCAGCAACAATAAGGTCGGTGACTGTCTAGAATGATTCAGTATCGTTTATGACGTATTTATCATACCAAGATAAGGTCACACACTTATTTATGATGCGATTAGGTTTAATTG